AATCAAAAATTAATTAAACTTTTATTTTTTTAAAAAGTAGTATTATAGAAATATTATAGAAATATTATAGAAATATTATAGAAATATTATAGAAATATTATAGAAATATTATAAAAATATTATAGAAATATTATAGAAATATTATAGAAATATTAAAGAAATATTAAAGAAATATTATAAAAATATTATAAGAATATTATAAGAATATTATAAGAATATTTATAAGGCCTATTATACTGTATATAGCCCTTTTATAAAAACTTAAAAATATTTATAAATAGCTTTGCTCGCGGATAGCTAAGTTAGCCTTTAAATACTAACTTAGTATATACTAAGGATATTTAGCCTTTACAAGGCTAAAAATTTAAATTTTAGTATTAATTTTAATATTTTTATTTTTTTAAAAATTACTATTTATAAACCTTTTTTTTTAAGTATATTATATTTTATTATATTATTTATAAATTCCTAAGGCCAAGAACCTTATAATTTTAATACTTATTAATATATTTAATTTATTAAGGGTAACTTATACTTATATTATAAGTTACTTAAGTATTTTTATAATAATTAAAAATAACCTTTTATAAAATTATTTAAAAAAAACCTGTTTACCCTTTATAAGTAAATTTATTTATAGTTATAAAAAATTTTAAAAAATAATAATTTAAATTTTAATATATTTTTATAAAAAAAAATAATAGCTAAAACTATCCGCAGGTAATTAAAAAAATACTTATTTATTTAAAAAACTTAACCTAAACAAGCTACGCCTGCAAGCCACATAAATTAAAAAGGTTAAAAAAATAAAATAATTTATTTATAAAATTTATAGGGAGCTTTTAAAAAAGTAATTTATTAATAAGTTTTATAAGTAATTTTATTTTTTTTTATAAAAAAAACTGCTTATCTCGCGGCTACCTAGTAAAAAAAATAATATAAAATTATTATTTATAATAACTACTATACCTTTATAAAAAAAATAAGTATATTTAAAAAAGTAAATAGCTTCTTATAAAAAAGGTGTTAAAGTTTATAATACTTTATTTAAATTTAGTTTTATAAAAAATAATAGGCCGTAAAAATAAAGATTTTAGGATATTTAATTTAAAATACTTTTTATAATTTTTTTTAAATAATTAAAAGACCCTGCGGATAAACTATATATAATATAAAATAAAATATTATGCATAACTTTTAATAAAAGCAAGTTAAATTATACATACCTATAATAATAAAAAAAGTAATAATTAAAACTAGGTAATTAAGGGGGTAAAATAAACATAATTTTTTTATAAATATTTTTTAAATCTTATTTATTTATAATAAAATAAAAAATTTATAAATAATTATATTTTTTAAAAATACTTGCGGAACTAGTTTTCTTAGTTATTAAACTTTAATTAAACCTTTTTTTTATAAGGTGCACCAAGCACTAATTTAAAGTTTATAAAAATTAATTTTTTATAAAATAAGTATAAAAAGTTTTTATAAAAAACAAGTAATTATAAGGTAAAAAAGCCCACCGCTATAAAAAAAATAAAAATAAAAGCCTTAATATTATTATTATAAAAGAATTAGGTATATTAAGCTAAAATACCTAAAACTTATAAAAAAGGTAAAAAAAGTAAAAAATAAAAAGTAATATAAAAACCTTATAATAATAGTAGCTATTACTAGTAAATAACCTTAGCTAAATATAAATTAGGTTATTATAAAATAATTATTTTTATTTATAAAAATTATATTACTTAATAAAGTAATTATAAATTATAAGGCCCTTATAAACTATAAAAATATTATAAATATAGTTTTTTTACTTTTTATAAAATAAATAAAATAAAAAATCTTATTATATTAAATTTTTATATAAGCTATTAATAATAAGCACGTGTGAAATAAAGGCATTATAAAAATAAATATACACCTTTAAAATTTATATAAAACTTAAAAAAAGTTTTAGGTGCTTGTAATAGTATTATTAAATATAAAGTAAGTAATATTAGGCATGCTATAGCTAAAAATTTATAATTTATAAATAATTTAAGCTGTAAAAAAATTAATCTTTATAAAATAAAAGTATTATATAAAAAAGGTTTTTATAAAAAAGTTTACTAAAAATTTACACAAGAAGTAAGTTAAGACTTTTTAAATTAATATAATAAAAGTTAAATAAATAATATTAGGTAATAAGTTACCTAACTAATGCCGGGATTTTATAAAAATATTTTTTAAAAAAAAAGTTATAATAGCTCCCACCTTATTATAAAGGGATTAACTTAAAAATTAAGGTTAAAAATAATAAAAAATTATTATTTAAATCTTTATATTACTACTCCCCGCAGGAAACAGCGGTTATTTATAAGTATATATAAATAATACTTATAAAAAATTAAATTTAATTATTAAAATCCTTTGCGGGGGCGCCTTTGCTATATATACTTAAAAAAATAATAAAATTTATATATACATGGATTTCCGCGGGCTAAATACTATATTTATAAAAAATTAATATTTTTTATCTTTAATTAACAAGATAATTATAAGGGTAAGTAATACTAAAATTTATATATAGTTAAATTTTTATAATATATATAATTATATTTATATTATAGCTAATAATAAATAAAAAATAGTATTTTATATAAAGTACAGGCTATTTAAGTACTTAATAATATTATTTAAACTTTTTAATACACCTATAATATTCCAGGGCTTTATAAATTAAGTGTTTTATAATTTACTAAATATTATAATTATAATATATATTAATAATATTATTATATTTTTATAAAATATAAAAAGTTATAAAAAATATATTTATAAAATACTAAATAAGCTTTATAAGGCAAGCCTGTACTATAAGTAAAGTAAGTATATATTTATAATATAAAAAATTAACTTCCTAGGGTATATTATTACACTTAATAAAGTTAAAATAAAAAAATCGCGTGTGGCTATAATTTAAAAGTAGCTAATATTAAAAGAAATTTATAATATTTTTATATTTTTAAGCTTTATTAATTAATATTATAGGTTTATTTATACCTACACGGTAGTAATAATAGTTTTTATAAATTTTTTTAAAAAACTAAAAAATAGTCCCGCGAGGATAGCTAAAAATAAAGTATTAATTATAATATTAAAAGCTTATAAAGCAGTAAACTTCTTAAAAAAAAAGTTTAAAAAAATAATATATTTAAACTATTTTATAAAAAACTAGCCACGTAAGTAAAAATAAATATTTTTAAAAATAATTTTTATAATATATTAACTTAATTATATTTTAAAAAAATATAAAAGCCTATGGCTTTTTTTTTATAAAAGCTTTCCTTAGTAAAGTATAATTATATTACTAGTAAGTAAAAACTCCTGGCTATTATAAAATTTTTTTATAAATAAAGGCATTATTTTTAAAATATATTATAAAAAGTTAAAATGATTATAAATTATAAGGCGCTGGTAGTATTTTAATTACTTATTAAAGTACTTTTATAAATATAAATTTATTAGGCCTAGTTTTTAGCTAGATTTTAGTTTTAAATTACCTATTATATAAATAAATTAAACCTTGTAAATAAACCCTTACAAAAAATTAATTATATATAAAATAATTAATATAAAAAAAATTAGGAAGGTTATATAAAGTAAGTAAAAAAAAAGTTACTTTAATAATTAGGTGTTATAAACATGCAAGATACCTATAATAATAAATTTATAAGTATAAAAAGCGCCGGCATGCGGGCTATATAAAAAAACCTAGTTAAAAATTTATTACCTAAAATTATAAGTAAAAAATTTATTATTACTATTATTAAAAATAAAGGAATAAAAAAAAATTATTAAATTAAAGTAAATAATAAATAATTAAGCCATGCATGGCTTATAGCTATTAAGGTTATAAATTATAATACTTTATTTAAAATAAAGGTGCCTTATAAAAAGGTAAAAAGGCTTTATAAAAAAAAGGTTTATTTTATATAAATTTTTTATAAAAAATTATAAAAAGCCTACCAGTGCTTTTAAAACAGGACCCCTTTATAAAAAAAGTTATAAATATTATTTATAAGTATAAATTTAAGCTAAAAAATCTAAGTATATAAAAAAGCACTTTATAGCTATAAAAGTAATAATATATAAATAATAACCTTTTATATAATTTCTCGCGGTTATATATTCCTAACTATTATTAATTATAAATAAAAATTTTAGTAAAATTATATAATAACCTGTTTGCAGGGTACTTTATAAAAAAAATATTAAAACTAGTTTAATAAAGGTTTTTTTAGCTAAAAATATAAAATTTTATAAAAAAATACTATAAGGTATATAAAATTTATTAAAAATTATAGGTATTATATAATAAATAACAAGGCCTACTTTAGCCTTTACTAGTATTTATAAAGCCTTAAA